GTTCTGCACAGCAGAACTGCATCAGGGAGGCTCTGCTGGAATAGCTGTGCCAGCTGGCCAGGCACTGACCCTGCTGGGAAACGTGGTTTGTCAAGAAGAAGCAAGGAGACAAGGACGCGTGTGGCCTTGCCTTCCCCTGTGTGCCCTTGTCTCTGCTGGACTTCCCATACTGCTACTCAGAGGTGATAATCCAACACAGAGTCTGAAAAGGCAAGCAGAAACTTTTTCAAAATTAAACAGCCAAGATCTGGAACAGGCTAAGTTTAGAGTTGTTCATTTGATCTTACTTCAACATCCACGAGCGCCCTTGCTCCCACATCTCTCCCGCAGGAGGTGGTTGCCCCTCTCCCTTGGCCCTCACAGTAGCTTACTTGCAGATGAACTTTGCACCCTGGGGGAGGAGGTAGGTCAAGGGAGGAGGAAAGGAGGGAAAATAAAATAAAGCCCTTGTTTGTTGACAGAACTATCATCAGAGCTGTTTTCATTACTCAGAGTGCAAGTACTGGTATGTCTGGGCTCCTGCTCCACTGCTGATGTTTCTGGTAATACAGAACTAACCGGCTGTGATCCCAGCAGATCCTCTCCTTCTTTGTCCCCTTCTGCCTTTATCTAAATGTGACTATGTAATATAGGGTGACATGTCAGTAAGAGAAGCCCTCTGCTTGCCCCAACTCTGCTACCATTACTCACTATATACCATCTATCCAAGTCTTAAAGAAGGCAAATATGCTAAACATAATTAGGTGTTTGTTACAACGCTCATACCCCACTTTCCTGTGCTGTCTGAATCCCTGCCTGACTCTCGATGCAATATACAACAAGTGCATAAAATAACTGGTCCATAAATACAAAATATGTCGGCAAATAGAAAGCCTGGGGAGGCTGTTTAGGCTAGTGGTTTATCAGTGAAGTGATAGCTGAGGAAAAGTAGACCCACTTCAAAGGTGTTGTCTAAATATACAGATAGGACTTGTCCATTCAACATGCAGCATGGACTGAGAGTCTACCTTGGAATGAGTCACTTGGATACTTTTTTTTTTTCAGATACTTCTGTTATTATTATTATTATGGGTTGGGCAGGGATTAGACATTGGTGGTATTCTACAAAAGCAAGGCAGTGATGAGGGTAGAAAAATAATGTTTCTAATTCTGCAAAGTCAGTGCTGCTATACTGCTGGTAAAGCAGAAACATCTTTGGTTCTGACTTTGCAGAAAAAAAATGTTCTGTTTTAGTAGGTTTTTTTTTTGGGGGGGGGGGGTCCCACACAGTGTCTGATGCTATGGGAGCCGAGCATTTTCCAGGAGTGCAGTAAATCCTGTTTCAAGCCTCTGCCCTGTGCCATTCTTTTCCATCCCACTTTTCTTCCCTTTGAGGAAAGAAAGCTTTATGTGATGCTTTTTTATTTTGTGATGTGTTTAGGACTCTCATTAGCAAGTGCAAGGTCAAAGGAGTATATTGGTTTTGGAAAGGAAAAGGCTCAACCTTGACGTGCTTAATATCTGATTGTGTTTTGGGCTGCGTCTGTAGAAATCTGTTCCCTGTCTAAGTTGCCTTTGCAGAGCATGCGTTCATATGGTAGAGAAGTGACAGAGATGCCCATGAGCTTTCAGTATAAGTGTTGGCTGCCCTCCGCCCCCATTTTCTTTCACTCCTCCTTTCTCCCCTTGCCTCCTGCCAGCACTAGCTGACACGAATGTGTCTCTGTTGTACCCCAAAGTGATGAGCAGAGCCCAATACCAGGTGACTGTAGGTTGTCTTGGACAGCTTTAGGGGAAAAGGAGGGTAAAAAATAAAGTGCAGAGGGCAGTGACCTCATTTCTGTGCTATGAGCATTTTGCAGCTGGCAGTAGGCCAGGGGCAAGAGGAGGCATGGCTGGAACAAACCCTACTGCAGCAAATCTGGCAGGATTTTGGCAGGAAGAAGCACAAACTGGGTAGGTAGGGTTCTCAGATAACGTGAACTAAACATTACAGACGCTCACCTAAAACCTTCCCACCAATTAATTCTTTTTAGTTGGGGTAGGAGGAGTGCAAGAGGGTGTGAAGGGAGGAACAGTATATCCCCTTTATGGATCCAGCTGCATGCTGAGCTTCATGAACTGAGCTTCTAAGACCATCCTGCAGCACCTTCCCTGTTTCCCCACTCATTCCCACCAGGCTTGGCTTGCCAGTGCAGGTGGGACCACTGCAACAGGCACACGCTGAAGCCAGGATTGCCAGCTGACACATCGGAAAAAAAAAAGCAAAAAAAAAAAAAGCAAAAAAAAGTGCCCCACAAACAGGAAAAAAACAGCCAGAACAAAGGACAACTACAGAACTTTGATTTTTCACCCTGCTACTGAGGCTGATCATAAAAATTAGGACAAATCACAATCCATGGCATCTATGGCCTAAATGTAGTTCAAGCTTCTGGCAGCACTGTGATAGGGGAGATAAAATTTACCACCTTTTCCTCCTTGCATTAGTCCTAACCCCAGTATACAGAAGGGTCTGGCCCAAGTCAGACAGCCCATCCCAGAGCAGCTCAGCAGAAGTCTGTCCTGGTGAGTCCTGGCAAGATGTCACATCAGGCCAGATTGCAGATAAGGAGGCACTCATCCCCTGTTGCTTTCAGTGGGAGGTAAGGAGCTAAATCCCTCTAAGAAATCGTCCTGTCGTGCCTGAATGCTGTACAAAGCAACTTCTGCCCCTGGTACTTAAGATTTAAAGGAAAGAGTTCCCCTAAAACTCTGTCCCTGTTCTAATGTCTTGCAGCTAGGATGAGAACCTGCCACCACGCAAAACATTGGAAGTAGCTGTCCACTGAATTCCTATACTGCAAATAGACCGTGCTATTAATAATTATTAACGCAATGAACATTTGCCCTGTATATAATGATCCTAACAAAAAGAACCAATTTCTGCTCTTTAGAGATCAACCTTTACACAAGGTCAATGGGGTGAGAGCAATCAGAGTGCTCTTACGCATATACTGTAGCAGTGAGTATATGATTTCCCCTCCTTTCTTCACCATTTTCCCTTGGCAATGCTGCATGACAGTTGTTCAGTAGACTCAATGAAAGGACTCTATGGTTCTGCCCAAATTTGCTGCTTCTTCATTATTTTGATACAGTGATTGCCAAGCATTTTGACACAGTGAATGCTGTGTTGTAACACAGTTTTAGCCAGGTCTCACTGTAGCTCATTACAGGGAGGTTAGACGTTAATTATTTATAATACCAATATCAACTGCTTTTGCAGTGCTTTCCTTGGGAAGATCTCAAAACACTTTACAAAGAATCTCAGTAGTAAATCCATACTTTAAAATCTGGAGCTGTTTGTTAGACCCCGATCAGATCAGCTGACACTGACATGCAAATACAGCCAACACATTTGACAAGCACAACGTGCAATGCCACAGAGCTGCGATACGGCGAGCAGAGATCTCCAGGTTTTGGCTTTGCAGTTTCTACAAGCTGCTTCCCGCTCCCATTTAAAACCCAAAGCTTGTGCCAACAAACAGCAGGAGGATTTTACGCTGAGTTGCCCTCCTGCCAGGCTCTTAGAAAATGCTATTACTCTCCTCTTAGGCTGTTTTCTCAGGCAGGGTTGGTGCAGCCTGCTTCCAGCTCTGGGACTTGCTAACTCCCACACCAGTTTCTCCATGGACAAAACCAGCTTGAAGCTGGCAGGACAGTCACTTGCTTTCTCTCATTTTCTCTGCAACGACTAAGTCGAAGGAACATGTGGGGGAGGGAGAGGGACCACATCCCAACCAAGGGGACCCTCTTCTCTGCTTTCAGCAAAAAGAGTAAGGCCAGGCTTTTCCCCAGCCTTTTATAACCTCTGACTTTCTGTGCAGGAAATGGTTCTTCCTAGTCCCGACGTTATCTTTTAAACGCACTAATACTGCTGCCTTGGGCTTTTGAGTGCAGAAAGGCATCCAGCTTTCCTACCCAGAAAACCTTTTAGTAACTTCCCTGGGAGGCTGCTGCTTTGCCCAATGCAGACTTGCAGAGCACAGCTGGGATTGGAGAGGACAGGAGAAGGGGAACGGGGTGGGGAGAGCAAAAGAAGAAAGCTGATTGCGGGAAAATGGAGGTAGGAGGCAGATTTGCAAGAGGCATGTTTTCCTCCACGCTCTAACCCGCCGCTGCGCTGTCCTGCTGAGGTCAGACTGATGAACAGGAACATGCAGAAAGCAAGAGACTGGGACGGTGTAGAAGACATTATTTAATAGCTCATCTTAAATAACATGACAATGTCAACATGTGAACAACTTACACCCATCATAGGCGACACAGAATATCCTGTTGTGTTTTGCCATTTATCCAGTGCACATGTTTGGAAAATAGAAACAAATACTGTCCCATCAGGAGCTTCAGTATATAATCAAGGTTTAGACTTTCTTTTTTAAGAAACAGCTTGACATTGAAATAGAGGTGCAAAAGCAACATGATATATAAACAAAACAGGTTTTAAATAAGTTTCTAAGCGTGTTCTCTACTGAAAGCTATTTTTTAAAAATTCAGTTTTTCATCTATAAATACATAGTACAAAAATGCAAGTTTACAAGCCATTTTTCCCAGTAGAGTTATGCCATTTGAAGTTTTAAGTAGCAACATTCCTCCAACATAACATGCATACATTTAAGAGCAATAATATTAAGTATTTACATATAAAGTTATGAAGTGTTTGAGGATATAAATTAGTAATAACACACAGAGACAAAAATACACATACTGTGAAATAAATAATTCAACAGCTTTACATATGAGAGTATCTATAATATTATACAAACAAAATATACAAGATTGTAGGACTTGATCTTGCAGTTGCTCATATCTGTCACTCAAGCATCTGAGTAATACCAGTGCAGTAAAAAAGCTACTTTATGGGGTTACTCATATGCCGAAAATCAGGTGCAGAAAACTACCTTACTGAAACAGTTCTTGACTGAAATGTATCCTGACTACGTCAGACCCCACAGAAAACTTGATGTGAATGAATATATTTAGTTTTATTCTTGTGAGTTGAGATACTGTTGGCATTCAGGGTCTCCTTTCATTTCTGGAGATCCAGGAATTCTTCTTCCATTTTTTGGATAGACACACCAGCATCCAGCAGACTCTCCATCCAGTGAAGTTTCGCACTAGAATATTATTAGCAAAACAAATCCCACAATAAGTAACTGTAAACAGAAGATTACTTGTAAGATACTGCGAGTATCTGTCTTCGAAAGAACTAGGATCAGAAGGTGGGGACCTGCCATGCACAGACGTGTTTTGAATGTGGTGGTCCCTGCTCTAACAGAGCCTCTGACGCACACACTTGGTTAGGGAGCCATGACCCAAGCTCAGCTACCACAACAGCAACTTCATATTTAAAACAGTTTGCCCGCTCATTGGTAAACAGCAGTATAAAACAGCAATAACTTCCAGAGTGAGAAACTGAAGGAAGGCAGAATATATGAGCTGGGAGGGCGAGAGCAATGACTGGATGGTCTGGCTTTTCACGCAAGGAGGCAAATAGGGTGTGTTTTTTCTTCAGGAGGGGGTTAAACAGATTTCTTTTTGTGCCTGATTAGATCCTAGGTCACAATGTTTGTGAGTCACACAGTGGTGCCATGCCCAAAAACAAGGAGTCTCGGTGACACAGATTTATGCAGACCTACTAAATTTGTGTGCATGACCTGTGGTTACAAGGGTGTGGCCTGAGGTTTGGAGCTTTAGTTAGGTTTGCAGATTACTCTCAATGTAACTTGCAATGGCTTTTTTTTTTCTTTTCTTTTTGAGGCTATGATAGAAATGAGCATATAATGTAACTCATAGGCAACACAAAACTGTGTGTTTTTCACTGCCCAGGAGCTGAGAGCCTCCTTTCTCCATACTGATTATTATATATTCAATGGGCTTTGCAGGCAGTATGGTGGATATTATGAATTGTCGTCAACTGGGAATATGCTAACAAATCAGGTACATGGAGCTTGATTTGGCCTGGGAGCAGACAGGGTTAAAAGATTTTGGAGAAGGCCTTGCGTGCACCTGTTCTGTGAATGGAAAAGACTCCTGCTTCCATTGCTGTCAACCCACAGCATGCGGCTCACTTTTAAGAGAAGAAGGACAAACCATCTGCTCCCATTACTAAGTATCCCTGTTTTCACAACCTGCTTTTCCAGCAGCTGCAAACTTGTGAGTTTGGGAACAGAGGGCTATGAAAGAGTTGGCTGTGTCAGGCTGGTCACAGTGCTGCTGTGAGCAGACAGGGGAAAAGGCACGTACCTGTTTGCTGTGGTAAAATCCATTCTTGTTGCAGTTGGGCAAGTAGAATTTGTAAATCTCCCCTCCGCTTCTCTGCTGAGCCTTCGCCAATTTACACAGGGCTCTGTAGAGCTCCTTCTGACAAGGTCCCTGCAAGAATACCATGAAGAGGCTGTCAGTACCAAAATCACAAAGAAAGCAGCTAAACAAAAAGTGATCAGTATAAAGCTAGCAAAAAGCTGAAAATACTTATTAGTCATATAATCTGCACCAGGCTGCTTTGCATGTAGTTTTTACTTGTTTCAGTAGGAGCACAGCCAGAAAAATCTGGTGTTGCATTTAGGCCTTTGTTTTTATTCTTTGAGGTATTTTCTGTCCTCAGAAACATGAGGATTTAAGTCCTTAAATTGCCACACAAGGAAATTTAACCTGTACTAAGTAAACACATTACTGCTCAGAGGGTACAATCTCTCCTATTATGGGGAGGTGCACGTTAGGAGGCTGGTGTACGTGAGACTAGCCACGTTTTCTGGGTTGCCATGGCCCTGTGCTCTGTTGATGTATGGAGAATAGGTGCAAGACATATATAGATGGTGCAAGAACAAACATCTGAATGTTTGTTATCTTTTGTACAGGACAGAGCTGTCGCCAAAGCAGAATAGAGAGCACCCCTGTGGCTCTGAGACCCAAACCCAAAGTTCCTGGTACTGGAGAAGAGCTCTTTGCAATATTCACTGTTTTCACAATTTGCTCGCTCCCTTTTTCAAAGTCACGATGGATGCATATTAATAGTACCTAATGTGTTTAAATGAGTGAAAGGGGAGGAGAAATGACTGAACAAATATTTTTACTTTAGAGTGAAAATAATCATACCCTCTGCTTTTGCAATGCCTCTCTGTGTCAGCCCCTCACATAAGTGGTCCTGTTGAAGTAAATGGACTTATCTGTGGCTCTGGGTGAGAAAAGCAGAAGCCTAAAAATCAGAACTGGCAGTAACAGCACTTATGTATAATAGTTCGAACTAAATCAGTGATTAAGTCCCGTTCTGGATGTGGAATGAGGCTTCCCAGGGTGGGGTTGTGGTTAGCAGGTTTTTGCTTTTGCTTTTTTTTTTTTTTTTTCATTTCATTTTGTCTGTGACCATTACAAAACTGGGCTTCTGTGGTGCCGAATTCCAATTCAGCTCGGTGCTGCGGGTGTGCTGGCTCACTGGGCCTGGTCTAACTGTGGTTCTCTGGTGCCCTCAAGTGGAACACGGACCCACTTGCAAAGGCCCCACACCCCCACTTCCCACTGCAGCGCCGAAGGTAAAGCTTACTTTAATTGCTGAGCTTTCTGTCTTCTTACATGCATCTACTTAACAGCGTTTCCTTGTGATCAGAAAGAAACACGTTTTGATTTGCATTGGTGTTTCATCAACAACTGTATGTAAGGACTCCCTTTTTATTTCACTGAGCATTGGACCAGTAACAAATGTCCTTTATTTTTTAACTAAAGAACAAGAGGAGTCCAAGATTTTAATATGGACTCCTAGAAATTAAGGGCCCATGTTATAATCTGATAGTAAATGTAGAGAAAGATTCAGCCACCGCGTGCAGTCTGTATAGGACATATCTGACGCACACCTGTTTTTATCACTCCTTCCATTTCGCCTGTTCCTCAAGCATCTAAAGAAGACATTCCAAAAGTTTGTTTGCTGACTGCCCAAAATACTGACATCCCAGTGTTGCTGCTAGAATTTCATGCACATTTTTATTTTGTATTCTGAATAATAGCATCTACTACAATAGTCTCTGAAAGGTTTGCAAAGAAAACCCACCTGCTCTTTCCATTTCTTGAGTTCAGATATTCTCTTTGCTTTCATGTTTTCATATGCAGTGATGGCGTTCCAGGGGATGGATTTGTCCTGGCCTATGGGAAACATCAACTGATAGTTCAGCAGCTGATCCTGTGTCATTTCAGTGCTTTCCAAAGGTATATCCTCAGGTTCAATAGAGTCTGGAAAGGAATTATATTAAGGTGAACACCTTCAGTGAACTTTTGCATTTATTTCTCTAAGTTAAAAAGGTAAAGAAAAAGAATAATAATCAACAACAGCAAAAAAAAAAAAAAGCAATATCTAAGACAGATCCATTACAGTAGCTTTTGCTGGAATAATAAACTACATGTGCAGCACAGCAAATTAAACTTTTGTTATTAATTCATATGAAGAGGCACCAGCTGTTCTCTAACAAGTTGGTTACTTTATGATCCTTCAAAATTACTCCTATCCTAAAGATGAAGCTGCAACCAGTCTGTTAGAAATAAAACAAAAAAACTTTCTTGACCACAATGGATTGCTAAATGAGGAAAGGCTGAAGTTAAACTTGTAATGAATGTAGATTTTTGTCAGTATGATGTGGCTCAGTTTTTATTCAGGAGAGGAACTGGTACAGACCTGATCCCATGGCATCCTGTACTTTTTTCTCACATTTAAGAAGGGGTAGCAATTCATAGGAGCCAGCAGTAGCTCATGCTGCCCTGCAGTGGATCAAATTGCCAGGGAATGGCAGAAACTGGATCTGCCTGATCATGGGCAGTGTGTGAACTTTCCCACTTGAAGCAACAGAAGCTCTTTGCAATTGCAGGGACTCATCATGGGATAAAAGTTTTACATGTGTCTAAAGAACTTGTTGGATGAAGGCTATAAAAAATCATCCAGTGGGGTAAAAGTGACCTGGTTTTCCCTTTGACAATGTTTAAGAAAAAATGGAGGTCAAAAATTGAGGAGGGGAAAAGAAGGAAGGAAGGAAGGAAGGAAGGAAGGAAGGAAGGAAGGAAGAAAGGAAGGAAAGAAGGAAGGAAGAAAAGATAGAAAGAGAAAGAAAGAAGGAAAGAAAGAAAGAATGAAAGAAAGAAGGAAAGAAGGAAAAAAAGGAAAGAAGGAAAGAAAGAAAGAAAAAGAGAAAAGAAATGAAAAGAGAAAAGAAATGAAAAGAGAAAAGAAAAGAAAAGAAAAGAAAAGAAAAGAAAAGAAAAGAAAAGAAAAGAAAAGAAAAGAAAAGAAAAGAAAAGAAAAGAAACGAAAAGAAAAGAAAAGAAAAGAGAAAAGATCAAATACTAGACCCTTTTAACTGCAGGAGCCTTAAATACTCAGTTTAGTCACTATTCTCTCCCCTTCCTGCCCCCTCCAGTACAACAGAAACTCCACTTACTGCCACCAATGGCCATTGTTATTTTGAGTTACCAACGATTATTTTTGTAATGCTACTGGGTTACCTTAATCACCACTGCATGAACATAGCAGTAATGACGGTGAAAATAATGATAATAAATAATTGTAAAGTAATGAAATAACAGTGAAGAAGTTCCTGATCATCACAGAGCATAAGATACTTGATAGGTCTTTTTGCTCGAAGACAGTTTGACTAGCACTGCACTACTTCAGATGCGTTTTATTCTTGAAGTGAAGCCAGGCACAAAGCCTGTTTAGGTCTTTTCAATCTCTATCATTACTTTTGGAGACGGACATAAAGTCTAGAAAACATTTGTCCTGCTCTAGTTACTGTTTACTACTAAAGGAAAACTGTGCATTGCTTCCCAGAAACCTCATCCCGATTATTCAGCATCGTCCCATCGCTAGGCTTGAGGGTTTTCCTGCTTGCTGCCTGCGGCGTAACAGCCTGCTGCGAACATCTCTTGGCTCCGCACCAGGATGCGTCTCACCTCGCACAGGTCAGAGCACGTTTTCCTGGAAAACGCAGCCCGGCTTCCCTATTTATTTTTTTTTTTTCCAAACGCCTGCCTAACTTCGCTCGTTTTCCCAAGCTCCTGACGCCCAGTGCCCGCAGCGCCTCGGCTGGCGCCAGGCGCGCCCCGCTGCCGAGCCCCGCTTCCCCCGGCG